GCACGTGGGGGATGCTTCAGCTCTACACCGGAAGCCCAGGGCAGAAGACCGTTCCTGGCTCTTTGGCCTCACTCTGGGACAGAGGACAGATCAGGCAATAAAGCTCCCTCACCTCTGTCCAGTCAACAACTGCCCCCACCCCAGCCTGCCTGGGCTTCCCATCCTGAGGGGGAGGGCGAGGACACAGAACCCCTGGAAGACAAGGCACGCTGCCCAGAGCCAGACAGGACCTGGCCTGGCCCAGAGGTCAGGACCAGTGAAGGGGAGCGCTCCCTTCCCAGCAGGAAACCTCACAGGGGGCTGCTCCAGACTCCTTCTTCATAAGGCGAAGGGATGCTGGGCGTACGCCAGATGCAGGCAGCCTGGAGACGCACACCCGTGACCAAGGCCTGAGAAAAGGGAGTCCCAAACCCAAGTCTCTACCCGGGGCTGGCCCTGCTGGCCTCCTCCAGCTGACTCTGGGGGAGCAGTGTCCTGTCTGATGGAGGGGTCAGGGTCCTGCGGGGTCGGAGGTCAAGGGCCTGGTGGCTCGATCAACTCTCTGGGCCCGAGGGTGTCCTTGAAGGGAAACTGCCGCCGGGCCGGCTTCCACTGCCCGACATCACCCCAGGAGGTGGGCCGATCCCCAAACTCCCAGTACACTGCGAGGACCCTTACTTGCCCCCAAGGTCACAGGGGCTCCCAGAGGAGAAGCAGGTGGGGTTTCAGGAAGAATGCAGCAGGGGAGGAGGCCAGAGCCCATGCTCTCATCAGGGTCTGCCTCCTATCCAGGACAGGTAGCTCTGGTGCAGCCGCCAGTGGCCGAGATAGACAAGTGTCAAGGGCCTTGCGGGATGGTGTTGGGGCAGCCAGTGAAGGGCCGTCCAGGCAGGGGCCAGTCTGGTGTTCTCTCACTCTGGCCCTAGCCCAGCTGCTGTCAGACACTGTCACCCAGGCCTGCCCACGATTCCGAAGCACCGGCCCGAGCTCCCTCAATGAGCTGGCTGAACATGGCACCATCCGCCAAGCTGAGGGGCACTAAAGCACCAGGGACAGCTGAGATACCAAAAAAGCAAAGACGACAATCTAAGTTGTAGCATGAGACAGACAGACAGACAGACAGACAGACACAGAGAGACAGAGACAGAGAGACAGAGAGAAAGGAGGAAAGTGAGAGGCGAGTGAGAGGAGAGAGGAGGAAGAGTGAAAAGGGGGGAGGGAGAGAGAGAGAGAGAGGGCTGCAATATAGTACGTGGGGAACCACACGCACAACAGGACAGACTTAAACGCAGGGTCAGCTGTGTCTCCTAAGTCTCTGGCGGACTGAATAGACATCCCGAACACTGGAGCTTCAAGTGCAACTCAGACTGAGAAGGAAGAGGGGAGCCAAGGCGGACAGCCGCTGGGTTGTACCCCAGAAGCCCGGCAGATGGGAGCTGGGCAGGCTGCTGAATCTCTGGGGCCCAGCTGAGCCCCCCATCCCTGTAGCAGGGGGCTCTGCACTGTCCAGGAGAGGCTTCCGCTTCTCGCCGCCCCTTGAGTTAGCCAAACCGAGCCTCTTCAGTGGGGCTGCAGGGTGCAGGGCAGGTGGGGGCCATGCTGAGAACCGGCCCGCAGAGGCTCCTCCACACCCAGCCATGAGGCCCGTGGGCAGCCTGGCTCCCTCCACACCCTCATACCCAGAGCAGGGAGGACGGATGCCTGGGGAGGGCTTGGGCCCTGAAGGGCGGGGCAAGATCCAGGCGGTACCAGGGGAGGGCACCAGGCACCCCTGCCTGGATGGCACCCAAGGCAAGCCGGCTCCCACACGGACCCTACACACCCTGTGTCCACCCTCCCTCCGGGGTCATTTGGGGAGCCACGACCAGCCCCCCTGCCCACAGTCAGGACGCCTCCCTGGGGCCTAGCGGGGAGTGACATCACAGGAAGCGTGGGCAGTGACCACTGGCATGGGGCTGATGTCATGGAGACACCCTGGCAGACACCAGCCTGGGGCAGGGGGTGGGGGGGGCACCTGTCCACCGCCAGGGCTTGGGGCCAGCACTGGGCCAGGCCTGAGCCTCGGGTGGGGTCACTGTGCGCATGTAGCCAGAGAACATGTTTCCATCTCAAAGGAAGATGTAAGAGGTCTGCAGCCTGTGACACCCACCCCAGGGTGAACTTCTGTCACTACCGGTGCAGAGCTGAGAGCCGCACTGGCGGGAGGCAGTGATCATGAGGGCCACCCAATAAGGCCTGCCCCCTGACCGTGCCTGCATCCCCCTCCCCTACCACCTGCCAGGGCGGCCTGACTGCCAGCGTGAAAATAACGGGCAGGAGCTGAGAGAAACACCCCTTTCTGGAAACTGCTTCCTGGACTGCCAGCTCCCAGCTTCTCAGATGGGCTGTTCTTCCCCCACAGCCTGGCAAGACTGCTCCCCTCCAGGGATGGGCAGTCCTGGAGAGTTGCAGAAATATTAAAATGAAAATTCTGATCCAGAGGGTTCACGAGATCCCAAAGCTACAGCACACCTTTTCATCATTGGGGCTGGAGGGATAGTACAGCGGGTAGGGCGTTTGCCTTGCACACAACTGACCCGGGTTCGATTCCCAGCATCCCATATGGTCCCCTGAGCACCATCAGGAGTAATTCCTGAGTGCGGAGCCAGGAGTAACTCCTGAGCATCGCTGGGTGTGACCCAAAAAGCAAAACCAAACAACAACAACAAAACACGGCTTGGAGAAGGGTTTTTGCTGGAGTTGTGCCACCTGCTGGTGCTCAGGGCTTACTCCTGGCTCTGTGCTCAGGGGACCATCTGCAGTGCCGTGATGCAAGGCAAGGGTTCTGCCTGCTGTACTGTCACTCTGGCCCAGACCAAGGCTTCTTAATTTTCACGCATGACCGTTTTGCTTCTTTCTACAAAAGTTTTATGTAACACTTGGCATATAGGCATACAAATCATTTACTGATACCAAATCATAAAGAAATTCTAATCAAGTCAGTTTGTGTTGAGTGAAGACCAGATGCATAATATAATTGCACTGCTTCTAAATTTAGTATGTTTCTGTTTTTTCTCCACTCAACACCATGGTTAAGATTCAACCACATGTCACCACCCAAATCTTCTACACCCTAAGCCATGACCCTATCCACAGTGCCCCTTCCCTTCCTCATCAACAAGGACCAGAGAGGAGACAAAAAACAAGTCTAAATCCAGCAAAAAACGAGTCTAAAAATGAGACAAAACTGGAGCCAGGGCATGAGACCCTCAGAGCCAATAAGAAAACCGCAAAGGGTCCTTCAGAAGTCACCACAGAAGGTAGACACGGTACTGACAACCGTGCCCACATCACCCACAGCTATGGGAATGTGACAAAGGAATAAAGACCAAATGTCTTCATCTCTCACCAAGAAGGACCCCTGAGGTCACAGGGGGGGCCGGGGGGCACTAAGATCCCACAAGACAGCAGAGCCCAGCAGACAAAGGGCAAGGGTCCCCCAGCAGAACTCAGAATACAGGGGTTGAGGGTCCCCCAGCAGAGCTCAGGATACAAGACAGTGGGGGTCCCCTGGCAGAGCTCAGCATACAGGGCCAAGGGTCCTGTGCCATCTTTCAGCATCAGCAGCTTCTCCACCTGCAACCGTGGCATCTCCGAGAACAGGAGGAAGGCGCCAGGTTCGGCGGCTGCTCTGACTACACAGTGCGTGCACCCTGGGGATCAGCAGTCCCAGGCAGGACGGGCTGAGACCGCACTTGGCTTCCAGGGGTCAGAGTGTGATGCCCGGGTGTGAGCACCAGGTGTGATCCCCGCACCCCATGTTCCAGAGCACTGCTAGGAGTGGCCCCTGAGCACAGAGACGACTTTGGCTCCTGAGCGCCACAGGCTGTGCTCAAACCTCCCCCCGCCCCCACAAAGACCTATGAACTATCAAGTCGTCTACACATGCGTCCAGGTGCGGATCTGCAAAGGTCCCGTCTTGTCTGCTGTGTCTCCTCAGAGGAGGGAGGCAGAGATGGGGGCTTACATGGGCGACACACGGCCGAGGCAGGCTGCCACACGCCCACCCGGTTCCCCAGAGCAGCACCCTCCAGGGTGCAGAGCTGACCCTGCCAAGGAGCAGAAGCCACACAGACTCTGTGCCTGACAGATGAGCCTCCTCCCAGCTGAGCTCCATGTTCCTGGGGCCGGGCTGGCACTGACCGGGCACAGACCCTGCCACATGAAGGCCCCTCACCCCAGCCCACACGGAGCAACCTCCAGCTCCTCACCATGCCACCCACTGGTCTGGAAAGACATTCCTTTTTTTTTGTTTGTTTGGATCACAGCTGGCTATGCACAGGGCTCACTCCTGGCTCTGCACTCAGGAATTACTCCTGACAGTGCTCAGGGGACCATATGGGATGCTGGGAATAGAACCCGGGTCGGCCGCGTGCAAGGCAAACGCTCTACCCACTGTCCTATTGCTCCAGCCCCCTGGAAAGACATTTCTTAAGCTGGTTTCGATGCCAAGCAGCTCTGTGGAAATTCCAGCCTGTAGGCTGAGAGAAGAGGAGCTGGGTCTAGGCAACGCAGGGGACCAGGCAGAAGATGCCCACAAGAAGGACTGTCCGTGTGACGGTGGCTAAAGCAGGGGCAGGGGCTGAGACGCGGCAGGGCCTGTGAGCAGAGTCCACGTGAAGCTTGCTCGGTCCAGGCGGAGAGGAGGCCAAAGGGAGTCCGATGACAGTCCCCAAAGCGCCAGAGGCAGGTAAGGGAACCGGAGGAGACTGGACAGGACCAGATGGATGACCCGGGTCAGGCCTGACACCCAGGTAAGGTTGGGCCTGATCTGGCCAGGCCTGGGGGAGGAGGCAGCTAAGAGCCGAAGGAGAGGGAAGAAAATGCTGGTGGCCAGGGAGCCGGTAGGGACAGGGCACAGGGCAGGCTTCGGGGAAGATTCAGGTGGAGAGGAAGGACCTCGGGAGGACTGTGGGCGGGGGGGCGGGGGGGGAGAGGGGGCGGGCACGGAAACCAGCAGGCCTGGAGGAACAGAGGATTACCGGTGCTTCTCGCCTTCCTCCTCTCCGTCTCTGAGCTGCTTGGTCTTTGGCTCCCCATCGTCCTTGTCCTGTGGAGAGAAAGGGAGAAAAGCCTGCTCAGACAAAGGCACCCACTCCAGTTCTCACTGCCCCCAAGGCCAGTCGGTCTGGCAGTGACCCCCAAGTGGCACACCCGCAGCCTCCGAACAAGGCAGGGCCTGCTACGGCACTGAACCTTCCTCCTCCCAATCGCCTGCAGAATCTGGGGTGAGCTCTGCCCATCTCCATGGATCTGGGTGAAGCCACTCTGTGAGCTGGAGGAGCAGGGCCAGGGGAGGGAGACGCGGTCACCCACCGCCCGGGGCACGACAGAAGCTTGGGCCAGCTCCCAGACCGGAGCTTCTCCAGAAATGCCAACGCGTAACAAGATGCATTCGGGTCACAGAGCTTGGGAGTTGCAGGGGGTCCATTTGGGCGCAGGGCAGAGGGGCCACAGCATGCGGGGAGCTGGCTTGGGGGCCACTGTGCCCATCTCCACACCTTTTTCCAAGACTCAAGAACACAAGTTGGGGGGCTGGAGAGATAGCACAGTGGGTAGGGCGTTTGCCTTGCACGCGGCCGACCTGGGTTCGATTTCCAGCATCCCATATGGTCCCCTGAGCACCGCGAGGAGTAACTCCTGAGTGCAGTACCAGGAGTAACTCCTGTGCATCGCCGGGTGTGACCCAAAAAGGAAAAAAAAAAACAACAACGCAAGTTGGTCTCAACCTTGACATAGAGCAACCTGTCTTCCAGGAGGGACATGGCCCCTGGGTTTACATGCAGCAGACAAGGTGCCCCACACCACGTTCACTGCTGCTAGCCTCTCCCCGCCCCCCAGGCAGATGGGCCTGAGGGCTGTGCACAAGTGTGTGAGCGCTCTCTGTGAGGGCTGGGGGGAACAGCTCCAGGACAGGACCCTGCCGATACCGCCCATGTGCCATCACTGGCAGTGACCTGCCTTTGACGGTCACTGTGACATTTCTGAGTCCCTGCCAGCAGGAAGCAGCTGTGATGAGGAGCAGAATGAGCTGGAGCTGAGGTCGACGGTGTAAGGAAAGGAGGGACTCAGAGCTTCCCCTCCCGGAAACCTGCTGTGCCACCGGCAGCTGGCACCCTGAGACTGGCATCTGATGTGAGTCCCTGTCTGCAGTGCTCGTCCCGGTGACCCCAAGGGCAGCCAGATAGACCCTGCCCTTGGCTGCTGTCCCTGCCCCTAGCCGAAAGGGAACACAAGTCAGTCGGCAGCCTGGTCCTTGGAAGCTTCTTTGGGGGAACAGGTGACTCTTCCTGGCCTCCCCTGCTCGCGGCCCAGGGCAGCCCAGGCTCTAGGGGACCCAGGAGATGAGGCCGCAGGAAAGCAACCTGGCCTGGCTGGGGAGGGGACAGACTACTTCCTGCTGAGGGGTGGCAGAATCTGGACGGACGGAATGATGGGCTGGGATGGGGAGAGGGGGAGGAAGGGCATTCCTGGAGAGAACTGACCCAGCAGAAGTGGGGTGCGTTTGAGGACAGTCAGGTGGCTGAAGCAGCATCAGGCAGAGATGGACAAGGCGGCTTGGGTGCACTGAGGGCTCTGGCCAGTGCTCTCAGCTCTGGGAGCCAGAGGGCAGGCAGACGGGCATGCGAGCTGCTGGAGAAAGGTCCAGACAGGACCCTGGACCTGAATAGGACCCTGCCAACACCTCCGCTGAGGTGCCGAAAGCTTGGCAGCAGACCCTGGGGCAGAGAGGCCTCTGCTTGGTGACAGCCAAAGGGGAAGGGAGAGTGGAGCACAAACTTCTTGTCTTTCGCAGTGCTGGGGACTTCCGAATTCAAGGCCACGCACATGGAAGACAAGTGAGCCGGCACTAAAGCTACATTCCTAGTCCCCCCAAGCACAGCCTATCCACAATTGTTCTCTCTTTTACAGGGGCTGCTCCCCGTGACGCTCAGCCTGGTAGAATGTGCCTGACCACCAGATGCTTCCGGACACACCAGCAGTGTGGGACTGAACTGAGGGTCGGATACGTGCTCGGCCTATGCTCTGCTACTTGACCTATCTCCCAGGCCTGAGGACAAAACTGTTAAGCCAGGATCAAACAGTGCAGCAGGGATCAAACCCAGGGCCTCACATGTGCAGAGCAAGTGCTCCACTGCACCGAAGTACAAATCTTAACAGAACAAGTGCAGTTCTCCTGGGCTGCTGGGCAGAACCTTCCAGACGCCCAACAGAAACATATGCATGTACGCACCCTCCTGGACTAAACACCGATCATGCAAACTGGGGCTTGGACGTTCAAACCAGAAGCTCCTTCCCTGGTACAGCTGCCAGGGGGCTCTGGGCAGTAACGTTGGCTACCGCCACCCGGGCTACGCCAGACCACGGGAAAACCTCTTCTTCCTGGAGGGACGCGAGGCATGAGGGTGAGAACCTCAGGGCGCAGGAGTCCGTCCTCTGCCAGCGCCCTGCTCCTTCTCAGCCCTCGAGCGAGGGCACTTGGAGGCCAGTGGCGCCACCCCCTCCTGAGTCCCCAGAGGCCTCTCAAGGGCCTCACACAGACCAAGTTATTCATTAATAAACGAGAAAACAACCCACAGAACAAGCGGCACTGTAGGTGCGGCAGGCGGGAGGGGGAGGGGCTGCCTCGGCACTGCAGTCGGAGAGGTGAAAGGGTCCCGGGCCAGCGGGAAGAGGTGAAGAGTCCCCAGCTAGCCCAGAGGTGATGGGGACCCCAGTCAGCCTCGAGAGTGAAGGGGCCCCCAGCCACGGGGAGAGGTGAAGGGCTCCCCAGCCAGCCCAGAGGTGAACACGTCTCCAGCCACCCTGGAAGTGAAAGGGACCCCAGCCAGCCTGGGGTGCTGTTCCAGGAGCAGGGCACAAACCAGCCATGATGGTAGAATGTGTGTCGCATAGCACATGCAGACAACTCCCCCCCCCGCCCCCTGACACACACACACACACACACACACACACACACACACACACACACACACAGCCCACCCCAGCAGAGTCTGGAGCCCTCCAGCTGAAGGGTGGGGAATAGATATGCCCCAGGTGCCGGGTCCACAGGCGCTGCAGTTCAGGATGAAGGTGCCCCAGACCCCTCCCACTGTGTTCTTGCCCATCTCAAGGGCCCTTAGTTTCTGTGACTAGCTCCACCCCAGCCCCACCCCACCCCCAGATCTGGGCCCAGATCTGGACCCAGGAGAAAGAGGCAAGGCTCCAGGGGTCTCAAAGGACCCTGCCCCAAACATGGCCCGACTCTTAATGTTCGAGGGCCTTCTGCCAGGAACAGACTTGTACAGATCAAAGCAGGGTTGTGCAAGATGGTTTTACTTCTTCCTCAACTGTCTGGCAAGACCTCGGTGAAGCCATGTTGGCCCGAAGTTCTGTGAGGTTACAGGGCTTTGTAAGTTTTGTTTTTCCTTTGTTGGCTCACGGGGCTGGCCTAGGGATGAAGTGCTGCTTGGGGGGCTGCAGTGCTGGGGAGTATCTGGGTGTTCGGGGGTCCCCAGGGGTGCACCGGGTGGTGGCTGAGGCTCTCCAAGGCCATACCTGGTGATGTTCAAGGAACCATGTGATGCTGGGGACAAGGCCAGGATGTGCCTTAAATCCCCTGCCCCATCTCCCCAGGCCTGATTTTGTGTCTTCTTGAAGCAGTATTTTTTTTTTTTGAATTACAGTTTTTATTTGGAGGTTTTGAAGGGGAGGAAGAGATAGCGGGAGAGAGTGGAGAGTAATGTGCTCAAGAGAGAACCTGGTCTTCTCCCAGGGCAGAGAGAGCCCCCACACACATCCCAGCATTAGACTGGAAGGCACGAAAGTACACATCTCAGGAGGGGAGATGCAGGCAACACGTGTGCTCTGGCACTGCGAGTGCTTAGCCACACGGGCGCGAGCAGCACATGGGCTCGGGCAGCATATGTGCTGCAATCTGTTTTCCAAATAATACCCGTTCACCTAAGTTACCGAATGTAAAGCTGCTGCTTATCGTCTTCTTCATCCTTTTGCTGCTGGTCACCTCGCTGACCGTGACAATTTGTGTCATTTCTCCTTTATGTGACCAGCTAGGCTAGAACTTTATCAACTTTAGGACTTACTGGGTTTTTTTTTTTTGGGGGGGGTGTATTTCTATGTGTTTGTCTGCCAGGGATCCAATCCGGGGCCTCCACCACGCGAAGCTCTCTCCCTGTCCCAGGACCTGGGGTTCTAATGACGTGTTTGCTCCTCAGTCTCCTAGGAGGGCCCCTCCTGAGCTGCGGGAAGGTGATGTGGGGGGACTATCAATCTGTACTTTCGACCTGAAAGTGGGACTACTACGAGGTGTTCAATCAACCACCGAAATTGCAGCCGAGGGGCCCTCTCACTCCCGGTTCCCTGTGTGTGCCTGGGGGCAGGCGCCCGAGGGAAGTGAGAACCCTAGCCTCAGGGGCCACACAGGACAGGATCAGGCCTGTGCACAGCAGCAGGCAGTATGGGAGGCTTTTCCCGTGCTTCCAAATCCGGAAAAGTGCTGTCAAAGAAGGACGGGGCTCTTCAACCCCAATTCTAAGCGGCCGAGGGTGGGGGTTCGCTAACACTGACAAAGCAGCAGCAGATCCCTGTGCGTGGGGACAGCGTTGTAGGCGTGAGAACAGCATGAGGGCACTGGCGGGCCGTGCCGGTGGGCACAGAGGCGGGAAACTGGCAGTGACAGGATGCAGGGGGGCCGGCGCCCTGGAAGGGTAGGGAGACGGGTGCAGCTGCTCCACACCCTGCTGGACCTGCCCGGCCTGCAGCTGCCCGTGCGTGTGTGCTGGGGAGAGTGGTCAGAGCAAGGGGGGACCAGGCTCTGGCGTGGGGGGGTGGCGGCACGGTGCAGGAGCCGCAGCCTGGGCCTCCTCTCCAGAGGGAAGAGAGGCGGGCAAGGGGTCCACAGGACTCCTAATCTCAACTCCTCCCCCGGGGCTGCAGACACCTCCTCCCTCCACCGGGGCCTGGGCAAACAAGCTTCACTGGCGCGAGTGTGTCTGGGGTATTGTCCACAGACCCAGCCCTCTGTTGAACAGTCGAGAGAGAACAAAGTCC